TGAGTCTGTAATAATTCAGGTTTATGGTCTAGTCAGTCCAAGAATCTATATAAGGACGCCTTTGGTTTTCTGAGGAGGCATCAAATATTGTAACATTGAGTATTGAATGAAAAAATGTTTTCTCTAACATATCTCTAAACTCTCTCTATCTCTATCTAAGAGCTTGTTCTATCTATCTCAAAAATTCAAGTATGCTCTATACTTGCCTCTTATAAGGACCTTATGTATCAGAAAGAATCTGACCATGATCCTATGAGATGATCTGTTTTGATTTAAAAGTCTTTAGTTTGAAATTTTACAGGTTAAAGTCCTAATATGGTTTGTGTGAGGCCGAGAGAGCTAATTGTTAAGACTTTGATACATGGTAATACCTGTAATTCTCTCGACTGAGTCTCAAAGGTTTAAGGAGACTCACCCTCGTGGCTCAAAAAATATTTTCAATAATAGGCTAATAAAGTATATAATTTTGAACAATTTATTTTTAGTCCCTTAAATTTAACATCATTATCCTCACTATCAGAAAATACTGACTAACAATTTCAAAATATAACTCAACATTTAATTGCTGACATATTAATTTTTAATTTAAAATAGGTAAATTAAAAAATATTTAAAATAAAAGTTGATTAAGGATACCATCAAACTTAATTACTTCCTCTAACCGAAATTTCTAACATGATTCTATAGGATTCACTCTTCATTTTTTTAATTAAAATAATAAATGAAAAAATATTCTAAATGGTGACATTTTAATTTTTTTATTATCAACTTTTTAAATTATGATATTGAATCTAATATAAAGGTTAACAATAACTCTAATTCTTAAGATAATTATAATTTTTGAAATGTTTAGATATAATTTTTTAAAAATTAATTAGGTAAAATTTTAAAGAAAATTGTTTATTTTATAATTATTAATAATATTAAACCATATAAATTGTTGATGAAAGTAAGATTTCATGTTAAAAATATTTTTGCTAGTTATTTCAATAAGTGCGCTTCCTAAAATAATTTTAACTATTTTTAATTTATAGATTGTAAATTAACAATTAATATGCATTTAAATAATAATTCGTTATTTTAAAATTGCTAAGTCATTAGTTTTCATTAATAAAAGTTCAATGATATTAAGTTTAAAAGATAAAAATATAATTTTTAAATTTAAAAAACCAGACTCATATTTAATGTAAATTCAAAGGATCAAAAGGTCTAAAATTTAAGTGACACGGAGGAAAAATATCTCCCACAGGTCAAAAAGCTTTATCCAAACCAAAAGAATCCAAGAAAGAGTGATAGAAAAAGCGAGTCTCTCTCGTCCATATGACCACAAGAACAAGCTCCGATCCATAATCAAAGATGGTGGTTTCCTCAATATCTCTGAGCTGCTTTTCGCCATGCTTATCCAGCAAGGTTTGTTTGCAATATCAAACAATTTCAGACCATTTTATAATTGAATGTAAATATCATTCTGCATTATTATGTTCCAGTTGAACTACCTGTCCGGTTCGAATGAACCGCCTCGCAATTCTGCGATTTCATCTTTCCGCAATGCAGTCGCTGCCGAAACAGAGACAACCTCCGACGACGATGGACAAAGTAATAAACCAATGAGACTGAAAATGGAGTTTCTGGAACTTTGTCCCTAGATTTTTGGATTGATTTATTATGTTGATGAAACAGATTGGTATTTCATCATGAGTCCAAATTCACATTCCAACAATTCTCTCTCTTTCTGAAATGGTGTGGATTTTGGTAGAAATTTTTGCTGGGTCTCGCTTAGATTAATTTTTAATAAGCGACTTTTCTTTTTGGCAAGATAATAAGCGACTTTTTTGGGAGAACGGATTATAGAGCCCTCATTATTTTAATTTGATTTGTACCCAATAAATTTGTTAACGTTAGATTATTTGACTTAAACATTTTTAAATGAAAATATAGCAGAAAGATGAGTTCAGATTAAGAAAGAAATAGAGTGAAAAAAAAATAATATACACACATTACACACATATAAACTACAAAAAGAGAATCCCGTTCAGGATTTCACCTATACATTACCGCTGTAAAGGAATAACGCCTACAAAAAATTGAAATTAGAAGTTCACTTAATAAAAATAAGATCTTCAGTTAGATTTTATATATCATTTTGAAGTTGTAGGGCACTTACAGAGAAGGCCTCTATTATTGGGACTTGGAACACTGACTGCAACTGTTCTCCCTGCAAATCCACTCAAAGCTGAAGGTATTTATTTACTTTCTTCTTGTTTTTAGATACACGAATTTCTTGCACATTAAAAAATTTAAGTTAGATTGTTTAAATCAAATTTAGACAGTTCATATTACATCAGTCTTTTTTTTTTTTTTCCAATTTGAACGAAAATATAAATCGTTTAGACCTAGTCTAAATGATTCCAATAAAATGTGTACCATGCACATCTGTAAAATCTCATTAAACATATAATTCTGCAGAAATACCAGCGAAGTACAGAGAATTTGTGGACTTTATAGATGGGTATTCTTATATATATCCTCAAGACTGGAAGGTACAAGAAATCATGTTAATTAAATCAATTTATCTCACAAAAATCATATTTGAAATGCACACGATTATAAATCTCTCTTAACAGACTATTAGTGTGAATGATCTCATTCTTTGATTCCTAGGACTTTGACTTCAGAGGGCACGATTCTGCATTTAAAGACAGGTATTTGCAATTGCAAAATGTGAGGGTGAGATTCATACCAACTCAGAAGAAAGATATCCATGATTTAGGTCCAATGGAAGAGGTAATATAATGATTATCAAGTCAAAATTACTGCAAGTCATGCAAATTTGAGAAATGAGTTTATAGCTGCAAAGATTACCTTATGAAGCCATCACAATGAAGTTAGAGAGAGATGCAAAGATAAGAGTAGGTCTCACTTCTGTGGGATTTATGATCCTATTTGGTACGAAGCATTGAAAATAAAAAGTAAGGATTATGATTCGGTTTGAGAAAAATCATTAAAGAGTTTTTAGTATGAGTAATTTCTTGTTACATGAAATTAGACAATCTCATTCCCATAGTATTATCTAGTTCCACATATATGGATTTGTTCAATCCCAAGTAACAAGTAATTACTCATACTAAACACTCTTTTAACATATTTTTTCAATCACAAACACAATCCTTATCCCTTATTTTTAACTTTTCATACCAAACGAGACCATATATATATAGAAATGAGACTTATTACTTTATTATTATCTTTTTCTAACTTTCTCTTTTCGAAGTATTCTAGAGAATCAAAATAATTGGGGGGGGGGGGGGAATCATTCCTTTTAATGCTTGTGATTTGGTACCTCACAAATGTGTACAATAACCGTGAAGCAGGTTGTAACCAATTTGGTGAAGCATGTATATGCTGCCCCCAACCAAAGGCCAACAGTATATGACATGCAAGAGGTTCTCTTCTCATTGGTTTCTTTTCTCAATTATCTGCGTCCCCCCCCCCCCCCCCAAAACAAAAAAGAATGGTGAAATCTCGATGATTAGAAGTTATTACAATGCAGAGAACTGTAGATGGGAAAAATTACTACACTTTGAATACGTTCTCACATCGCCAAATTACTCAAGTGCCTCGTTTGCAACAATAGGCATAGGAAATGGTGAGTAACCTTATCTTCTCAACCTCTACTCCATGAAGGTTATAACTATTGAAATTGATGAAAATGAATTCAGTTTTTATACATAGGTAGTTTACTCCAATGGAATTAGGACAAATGGATTTTTCTATAAATTATTTACTGTATAACTAATTTCATTATTAATATTCTTATTTTCAAGTCTAGAATCCACATGTTCTGATTTGATTTGTCTCATCTCAAGTATATAAATGAAGTCTTTTCTATGATGTTGCCTTCGTAGTAGCATAAATTAGAATATAAATAGTGTATATGATGAGTGCCAGCAAGGTGAATATTGTTTTTGTGAAATGATCGATGGTGTTGATGAATGGCCAACACTATACAGGAAGGTATTACACCTTAATTGTTGGAGCCCTTGAAAGGCGCTGGAGAAGGGTAAGAGATAAGCTTAAAGTGGTTGCAGATTCCTTCAAGATATTAGACATCTGAAATTATATCAGGGTTTTCCCTGGTGCATGTTCTAATTTGTTTATAGATTGAATTTAAAATTTATGTAGCACAATATGAACCTTTTTGTCTATCATAGAATGGGAAGATTTTCAAGTTGACCTAGTAATCTGAATTGACAGATTCAAATTTGATTCTAGGTAAAAATTAATAATACCCATTTCTATTTTTAGAAACCAATAATGATGTTTTTGTTGATGTCCTCGTCATTTTCTTCTTGGGGGCATTGTATGGACATTATGCCGGCTTTGATGGCTTTGTTTTTATGGAAAGGTTCCAAAAAATTTACGCCCTACATTAGATCAAATAAAAGTGGATGAATATAAACAATACTTAACATAATTTGTCAACATACAATAATCAGAGAGCATGACCACTCGCATAGCTCAACTCTTCGCATCAACCAACTTTTCAGTACAATACTAACCTGGTTAAGCATACAGAAACAAAGGACATATAGTGCAGAAACTCAAAAGTAGCTCTGAACCATTTAACCACTTTTTTTAATATTTATAATAAACAGAAGAGAGCAAGAAGAAAATCCTACATGAAGTAGCCAGAAGAAGCATAGTATCCCTTACACTGAAAACAAAAACGCAATCTCGAAAGGCAGCAAAAGACAACTAAGAACGAGCTGCTACCATCCATACATTGATGATAAAAATTGCTTCCGTGAAATTCACAACATATTCCAAGACAAATCAATAGTTAAAAAAAACCAAATTCCATCTTTATGCTTCTCCTTTTTCTTTAATTCCCTCGAATGTGTGGTATATACGTGCACTTCTATTTACGTAGAGTTCTGTAAATATTTTTTTTTTAACAAAAAAATGTGATGGGCGGACCCCAGCCATACGAGAATGCATGCAAGGGTCCCACTACTTATGCAGGATGCAACACGTGTTATCATTCATACAGTTGAGTCATTACAAATCAAAAAGATTGAAAGAGAATCAAAATAATTGAAACCTATGTTTGACTCGGAAAAAAGACACTTGGATTTATGCAGAAAAAGGAATACCTCGGCTTCTAAGATATCACTATTTATATACAAATGTTACAACTCTTCCCACTAAATTTTCCTACAAATTTCACAAATGGAAATATAAAAATTACAGTAACAAATAATAAGTTCAACATCCACGCTAGTCAGGAGTGAAACAGAAGTTCAACGAAGGAAACCAAAACTCACATTTCAGTAGGGATTAGTACTGATTCCACCCTGCCTTCTTGAAGAACAAAATAATATACCAAGGAGACAAAGACTGCCCAGTCTAAATTGCTTGCCTCCAAAAGAATATGCATCCAACCCAAATCCTCAAGGCCAAACTAGACTCCAAAATCCTATCTTCAAATTATACAAGTCTATCATTGCTAATATTTCTTCCCTAGCTTGCCAAACGCCCACAGCAGCTCCAGATGTCCCAAATTTTTTGCCGCTCACAAGCTCCCCACCTGACCTTCTACAAGATATCCACTGAATCACATTCAGTCATTCAAACTCAAAAATATCAAGAAACTGTTCTTTTGACCATACTCAAATACTCCCTAAACAAGTCGATGCTGACGCAGTGCCTTTCCAAAGTGAGGTTGCATCAATCGGACATACAGGCCATTTTTTGCCACCAATGAATCATGGGTTCCTTCCTCTACTATCCGTCCTCCATTGAGCACTACAATGTTATCAACGTGCCTCATCATTGCAGCTCTATGTGCTATTAGAATGGTGGTCTTGTTTCCCATTATAAGAGTGTCTAGAGCTTCTTGCACCACTCGGCTTGACTCCGATTCAATTGATGAACTGGCTTCATCCAACAACAAAATGGGTGCATTCTTTAGCACTACTCTTGCTATCGCAATTCTCTGTTTCTGTCCAGGCGTCAAGTCAACACCTCTCATTCCAACATGAGTATCATAACCATGGGGCAAGCTGCTTATGAAATGATGAGCATTTGCTATTCTTGCGGCCTCTTTCATCTCAGCTTCACTGGCATTATGCCTTGCATATATGATATTTTCCCTTATGGTAGTTGAAAAAATAATAGGTTCCTGCTGTACTAAACCAAGGTGGCTCCTTAACCATCTCATATTATACAGCTTTAAATCCCTCCCATCTAGTAAAACTTGACCAGCCACTGGATCATAAAATCTCTCAATCAAAGATATTATAGTGCTCTTTCCCGACCCTGAAACTCCAACAATTGCAACTGTTTGGCCCCCATTGACTTTGAGACTGAAATTACTCAATACTAAAACTTCAGGACGAGAAGGATAACAAAAATCAACATTTTTCAACTCAATGCTTCCATATACATTGGGTGGCTTCAATGCTGAGTTATCATCAGGGTCAATTTTAGGTACACGATCTATAATTTCAAACACTGAAATGAGAGACTTACGCCGTTTAAGTATGTAAGGAGCCAACCCAAAAGGCTCCACAAGCGCAAATGTTGCAAATGAGAAAACCATATATTCCTTAAGCGCAGTAGGTGGATCCATATAACTGTTATTTATGCATATGGCAGTGTACCAAAGCAAAAGGGCATTACAGGCAAAAAGTAGAAACTGTGAAAAGCCAAATGCAAAACCAATGGCCACCCCATGCAAAAAGCTCTGCTTAAATATTTTCTTCAGCTGTAGCCTATAGAGCTCCATTACCTTATTGCCAGCACAAAATGCTACAACAGTGTATATATTTCTAACTGCATCTTCAAGAACCAAAGAGGCCTTTCTGTGCATTTCTTGTATACCCCTTGAAAATCCAGCAAGCCACAATTTCTGCAATGTTAAAGAAGGTTCCCTTAAATAAGTACTAGTGAAGTAAACGAAGATAAAGTGAATGACATAAATGGCCGCACAAATTATAAAAGAAGACATAGTGAATGACATAAATGGCCAGACAAATTATACACCACCAAGGTTTTCAAAACCCTGCCATATTATACGCATAATGACAAAAATATTTTCATCATTAGCATGTGTAAATGATCACAACAGTGCTCTGATTCAGTATAATACAGGATGCTAACTTGATTTTTGTTTAAGAGTGGAAGACACGTAAAATTATTAGTAGTTCTTTTCCAATCATTTCCATTCTAATAAATATTGATATGTATCATATAAACCTAGATATGTCTGGGTTTTTGTGTCATTTTTTACAGAAACGAAATGTCTATTACAAAAAAAGGTTGTCGACACATAATTCAGGTTATGTTGTGAAAAAAAAACGAGGGTCCCATTTTGTAGCCAGAAAAAAGGCCTAGGGAAAGGGGCTTCTCCTTTGGACTGCTTGGTAGCCGGAAAATTGTCACCTATGGAAGCCTCTTCCTCCTATAGAAGGCCTCTTCCCTCAAAAAATTGAAGGAAGCCTTCTTGCCTCTAAGGTTTACCCATTCAACTCTCCTCAAAGCTTGGTGTCCTCTGAATCATCATTCGCCTCTACTCCACCTTCGCTGCTTTCTATTTTTATTTTTTTAAGAGTCTGGCTCATTTATATGATTTATGTCAATTGAGTTTCCAATGGCCAAAAAAAAGGTCAATTGAGTTTCCATGAATCTGTGATGGCATATTTGAGGTTTTTCTTGGCCAACAGATGGTATATTTGAGTTTGACAGCCTGATTTTGTCATCTTATCTTATTTTTTGAAATATATTCTTTCGACAAAGGAAACCTCACATGGGAGAATGAGAAAGGAAGAACCAATGAACACGTTGTTTCAGAAATACAATCATACCCTTCAGAACAAGCACATATAATTCATTCTTTACCCATACCATAGAAGTTTCATAAACTATGACATTCAATAACACTTAATTTTGCAAGAGAGACAAAGGTCCATAAACTCATGTGACAAGAAAATTACGTGGAAACTTAACCAAACTATCAGCAAAATTGATATTATTGAAAAAACAGAAAAGCAGGTGCAAACCTGGGCAATTGCAGAAACACAGAGAATGGGAAGTGTTGCTAATGCCACAAGTGCTAATCGCCAGTGCAGCAATGCGCCAATAAGTACAGCAACAACAACTGCAGCACTGTCCTGTATAAATATGGAAAGACGGTTGCTAAAAGCAGCTCGTACAAATGTAGCATCATTGGCCAAACGCATGGATAAATTGTCGGCACTGTTTTCCTCTTCATCAAACCAACCAACTTCATTACGTAGCATGGCTGCCATATTATGGGAATAAGTTAGGCACTGCCCCGAATCCTGCAGCTTGAATTTAAAATAAAAAACAAACGGTACAGCAAAAGGAGTTACTCACCTGAGAACATCATTCTCCTAACTCTTTCTGTCATTTTCTCCCCCATAATACCAAAGTAGAAATGTTGTAAGAAGTTGGCAACAACTGTCACAATGCCCATGCAGGCAATAATCAAGCACCACTTATCTACCTCCTTCTGGAGGTGATGAACTTGATCAATTCTATAGTAAGCTGTCACCACCAGGCCAATAACATATGCAAGAAGAGGATTGAAAGAACCAAAGATGGCAGCACCTATGCTTCCTAATACAGCATAAAGCCACTCTGCAAAACTAAGTTTAGCAAGTCTCCAAAATGATGGAGGTTTTCGATGCTTTGAATCTTTTGCATCTCTCAGTTTCAATGAAACATCATCAGAATCACTATGGGGTCTACTAAAAGTCTGGGAATGGGAACGTTCATTCTTGGGGTCAGATGTTAAAAGAGGTGAAACAGGGGATTCTGGGTCAGAACCATTAGATTTTTGTCGATGCACGGACTGAACATCAATTTTGGGCAACTCCGGCAGCCTCATTTCGAAACTGTCCTGCCTTCTAATTGAAGGCTCCTTGTCTACCGCATCCATAGACTGACCATTTTCTAGCATCTTTTCTGCTGGTGGGCTCCGAGCATTTGGTGATTCCTGTGAGTTATAGATGCCATCTGAAGACCGAAATACATTAGAAGCTCTCTGAAGCGAAGGTGACTTCATCATTTTTGGGGATGATGGTTCTTTAAAGCTGTGACTTGACGGTGAATCCTTCTCAATATGGAAAGCTGCAGTCTCTTTGTAGTTTCGAGCAGGCATCCTACACATTGAAAAATGAAACGGTAAGTAATTCTCTACATAACAGGACCAAAGTTGTCCACACAACCAAAATACATTAAATATTAAATAATAACTTATGCAGTAGGTAGACATTCTGATGAATTTAAGAATGTTCATGTTCTAGCATTTGTCAAGGACCATGTCAACTTAAAAGCTCAAGCTGTTGTGCAAGAACCAGTACTGCTGTATTGTAGTCTCTAACATTTCACACAAGTCATTTGGGCTTTAGTGTGGACATAGCAGAGGCCCAACATGCCTTTTCCTCAAAAAGAATAAGATTAACAGTTTTTATGATCATTTCAAACAAGATTAAAACTCGTAACTATTATGGATGATTATTTAACAAGTTCCTGTGGCTTTTGATATTCAATAATTCTTATTTAAAGAAACTCATTATATTCTTGCAATTAAAGGACAGCCAATCGACAGATTGGTGATAGCAAGAAACCTCTTGGGAAGTTTTGCTGCCTCTTCACATCGAAGGAGCTCAGCATATAAGCCATCCAAGGTCAATAACTCATCATGAGTACCCATTTCAACGAGTTGACCTTCCTCCATAACAGCTATGTAATCAGCATTCCTTATAAGACTAAGTCTTCGAGCGATTATTATTGTTGAACGCCCCAACATTAGAAGATCCAAAGCCTCCTGAACAGCCCTTTCAGCCTCAAAGTCAAGTCCACCAGTTACCTCATCAAGCAGAAGAATGGATGGATTTAAAAGCACAGCTCTGGCAATAGAAAGCTTTATCTTCTGTTCTTCTGTCAAGGCTAAGCCAGCCCTTCCAACCTGAAAAATAAGCCCCATGCAGATATCAAATGCACGAGTGATTGCCATAGGAAAGGGAGTAAAATACAAGCACACAACTAAGCAAGAACTATAGTCTCCATAAAGTCACGTCAATCAAGCTTCACCTGTGTGTCATAACCTTTCAATAATGAGCTGATGAAAGTATGTGCATGGGCTGTCTTGGCAGCCTCTTCAATTTGATCCATAGTGGCATCCCGACCATAAGCAATGTTGTCTCTTATACTCAAGCTGAGCAAAGCAGGCTCCTGTGTGACCAGTCCTATTTGGCTCCTTAGCCATTCCAGTTTCAGATTCTTAATGTTCTCACCATCTAAAAGAACCTCCCCTGGACCAGATATTGGAAAATCAATTTAAATCAGTAAATAACCCATAGAAGGCTTTAAAATATCAATAATATTACATTATACACGGAGAAAAATCACCTAATGTGGGATCATAGAACCGCTCCATGAGTGGAATTATACTGCTTTTTCCAGATCCATTTCTGCCAACAAGTGCCACGGCTTTCTTAGCAGGAACAGTTAGATAAAAGCCACTTAATATAGGGATTTCCGGACGAGATAGATAGCTAAAATAAACATTCCTAAACTCAATATTCCCTTGCACAGAATCTGGGGCAGTTCCATCATGATTAACAGATGAGGATGACCTGCTTATCATCTCATACAACCTATAAGCAGCTATACGTCCTTGATCAAATGAGTAGAAGTTTGTTGCTGCCTGATTCAAACCCCTGAGTCAAAGTAGCAGAAATAATAAGTAAAATGGTAGACAGAAAAAAGATAATTTAAAAGTTGAAAAGATTCTCACAGGCCGCTTAAAATTACAGCAAAGAGAGCCGTGATGATTTCACCACCATGAGCTTTGTCATGCATGACCAAGAACCTTCCTACCCAGAGTTGTAATGCACACGAGCATATTGCAAGCCCATAAGTAAATCCAAGACCAAGCCCTTGAACAAGACTTATTAAGATACCATATCTAAGAGTAGCTTGAAGTGATGTCGCATATGAATACTTAGCCAATGTTTCATTTGTAAATGCATACAACGTCCTGATATAAGAAACCGCCTGCATCACAAGGAATAAACTGCCTGAAAAATGCTTGCCCAAAAATGCTTCATTATATAGTTAGAACTTCACTCTTCCTTCCATTGTATTAAGAGAACAAAAGATAACGAAACAAACAATAATAAAACCCCAGTACTGCCCATCTTGCTAGTAAAATGAAGCAATAAGAGCTATCATATTTTGTTCCTTCCATGGTTTAAAGTTTTTATCACAAAGTAAACCCCAAAAGTATTCCACGCATAAGCGGCCAAATAATAATTTAAGGAGTTTGGTTACTTTGGTAAACAAACGAAAGCAAGGAACAAAATTAAAAAAAAAAAAAAGATTTTAGTTATGTACAATCTGAGACTCTTCATGATTCATCCATAACCTTCTACAGAAAAAAGCTGGAAAGATTTTTAAAACACTCTCTTTTGCACAAACCATTCAAGGCATTAGAACAATGTTTAGTCCTCTCATTTGGAGACCAAAGAAGATAATATACCCCCCCAACCAGAGCCAATTAATAGAGAAGCCATATGAGCATTACGTAAATATATATAAGCAAAACAAAACAGACACACACCACATTATTCTGAGTTCCCCACCAAGTCTGATTTTTGTCCAGCGTTCAAGGAAAAAGGGTTCAATTTGACACCACCAATTAAGACATTTTGAAGACATTTCTCCTCATCAGGGGGCCAAATTATCAATCTTTGAAACAACTGTTTGTGAGGGGGGGGGGAGATAGAGAATGCTGCTTAGAGATATACTACTGATGACTTAGGGCTCGAGTTTCATGAAGTTATAGAAGATTGACAGTTGTTTAACTTGAAATATCGGTGATGGCAGACTATATATGTTGTGCATCAAGCATGTTACATAAATAAGCAACATGACCCTTGAGATTGGCAACTTCACTAGGAGTTAGAAAGGTATTGATGCTCCAGCCGGAAGACTCTTATTAGACCCCTCTTCAGTATAATCATCACATCCAATCAAAAGAAAACAAGATAAAAACATATTTTTGAAGTCAAAAATGAAAACCTCAAACTTCGAATAATAAACAAGTGCTTGTGGGGAAAAAATGAGACGGTCAAATTTCCTTTGGTCATTAGCACACGTCCTGAAAAATATACCCAAAAAATAAAAAGAAAAAAGCTCCAAACAGGCCACTGGGCTCCAAGTTATCACACTCTTGAGCTCTACTCTCTGTGTTTCCTTCTTCCAACCTTCTGTATTTTACATTTCCATTTCATGGAAATGGAATCTATTCTGATATTCAAATGATAATAAACACTGTTACAGTATGGTCTAAGAGCCTCAAGACACTGAAAATAAAGACAAAAGACCAACGCACGGACATTCCCGAGCTGTTCGAGAGGCTAGACTCTCCCAATTGTCCTTACTCACTGATTGTTGAAGCCCTCACTAAACCCATCATTACATTATATATCTCACCCTCAGCCCCTTCTCTCTCTACTAAATCTCACAGCCCACAAATCAGTGATGCTCTTGGCCTACAGCTAGAATTCTCAATAGTTAAGTATATAGGTCAGAAAACCTCAACAGAACCGGGAAGAATAACATCTTCGCATATCACTACAGTAGGGTACATGCGCTTGGTCAGAAGGCACTAGTGATAAATACAAATTGTAGAATGTCCCTTGTCAAAGCCTAGCGAGCTTACAACATCAAATAGATCTTCATTTGACTTTTTTCATCAGACTATCGCAAGAAAATACAAGTGAATTTATCATTACCTCTTGAACAAAATCCTAAAGCATGAAGTCCATGAATCTTTTTCACTTGTATACCTTTTTCCTCTAAGTCTAGTCAATTTAATGTGAAACTTCTACCACACTACTTGTTTGAACTGAACAATTGCCTCCCCCACCCCCTTTTTTCAAGTGTCACTCTGTCACGAAGATATACTCACCCTTTTTCCCATTATAAAGACATGCCACTAGCCTGCTCCTTTGCTTTGCATGCGTGTGCCTTCCAAGCTCCACATATATACCTTTCTACTGAGCCCACCACTCAGTGTGCATAAACTATGCATTTATCCACTTGGATTATTGTGTTCCAATAGAACCAAAGGTTCTAATACCATGTACAAATTTCTGGTTCAAATTTTTCCACTAAATTTATTTTATTAAATAGAATTCTTATGTTTGTAAGTGATAAAAAGGAAGTAAACTTCTATTTCACCAAAAAATGGATAATCTCATCTCATTCAAATCAGAACCCTAATCAACAACAACAACCAAAAAAAAAAAAATCAGATGAGGTGATCATACACACGTAGAAACACCATGTAAAAATAACTAAAAGAAAAAACAATTCAGCATTAATTTAACAACCAAAAAAAAAAAAAATCAGATAAGCTGATAATATACACATAGAAGCACCATGTAAAAATAACTAAAAGAAAATTCATGCATTAATTTAACACCAGATAATTTCAACGACAATGAGAAAATGGTGGGTAAGATGAAATTCAGGCAAGAAAGCCCACTGGTTTTTCAGTTTTCCATATTCAACTGTGTTAGAGAATTAGCATTATATTTCATATCTTGTGAAATTTTAATGTGCTAAGATATAGAATTAGTAAATTCTGACTTTGTGGGAACTTCTAATTTTCCGGACTTATGGTTTTTTAGACGCGGGATGAGAAGGCTAAGAGGGTTAGGAAGGTCATTAAAGCAATATTGGGTGAATCGAAAACATTTTGGACCTAGAGATAGAGAATCTTGGTGCTGGAATGAGAGCATGAAGGAGGAGGTGAACACAGACAAAAGAGATTGCTTCAAAGCCTTACATTTATCCATCAAAGCCAAAAACTGAGAAAGGTACCAAACAGTTAAAAAGGAAATTAGAAAGCAGTGAGTGAAACAAAATGTAAAGCTTGAGTTTTACAGAGATTTGGGGACAAAAAATAGGGAACAAAATATACTCAATTGCTGAGAATGGGGAAAAAAATCAAGGGATTTTGAAGGAAGAAGATGAAATAAGCATTCTGGTTACAAATAAAAATATTTAAAAAAAAAAATGGGAGCGCTACTTCTACAGGCTTTGCAGTTATGGATTGATAATAGTGATATGGAGGATTTAACGACCCACAAGTGCGAACGAGAAGGGAATTCCCAATTGATTAATTTGAGGTTAGCTGAAATAACCGCTCCATTTATTTGTACTTCTGAAACTAGAAAGGAGGCCAATGGTGTTCCCTACTCAACGTATAACTACCAGAAAGCACATAATTTGAACACCCCAAATTACATAATCTGGAAGGAAGGGAAAGAAATAAATGAATCCACAAGAACTGGAAAGATGAAAACACACCATGAAAGTCACACCACTTGACAAGTTAATTTTTTACTTCTTCAAACATCAAGCATTATTTGAAACTTTATACGGATTAGACCATTAAAAGAAATAAATCATGTTTGGAAGATGCAGAAGAAAAGAATATGCAAATGGCATCCAAGCCATTCACAACCACACAACAGGAAAAAGAAGTATTATTTGTTCAATGTAAAACACGAAACAAAAAACAGGAATAACCTGTTCAGCAATGCTAGCAGCTTCAGCATATGCATCTTGAATATTCTCTGCCAGCCTATGGAGGAATATATTTGATATCCCTCCAGCAGCAACAATAAATGGACCTGTGGCTAATGTTATCAATGCAATCTGCCAACAGTTGATAAATCCAATGACAAGTCCACTGAAGAACGTAGCCATATTGTGAATATAATTTCCGACCTGTATTTATAAGCCAATAAACATGTTATATGAGACATGGCTGAAAAACCTGGAAATCTTCTGGGAAGAATATAAGTTTTTAATGTTCTGAATATTTACACAAAATCAGAGCAAGACATACTTTCTCACTAAGTGCAGACTGAATGAGCAGAACATCACTTAACACTTGGCTCACAATATCTCCATTATTCCCATATGTATCAAAAAAACTCATATCCTGGTTAAGCAATACTTGAACATATTTTGATCTGATAACTGCAGTCTGCCGTTCTCCGGTCAAAATCCAACATGAAACCTCTGTAAAACAGAAAAACAACATTAATATTGCAGAAATTAGTAACTGTCTCTCTATGAAAACACACTGTGTTAAGTGAATTAAGCAGTAATCAGTTTCAGTAAACATGTTAGTTTACCTATCCAACCAGCAGCAAAAACACCCGCCGCAATATAAACGATGGTTAAAGCAAGCTGAAGAAGAAACAATGAGAGTAAATAACCATATTCAGATTCACAGTTCAAATGGCTTGTAGGAAATAGAAGAAACTTCTTAGCTGACATTGATTTAAATACTCCTCCAGTCCTTAATGTAGGACCTAATTGGGAAATTGATGTGAGTCCCATGTGTAAAACCTATTTTACATGTTTATCAATTTTTTCCCAAATTAACCCTATTAACATCCCCCCAACAATAATCAAGTAGGAGAGGGAAGGAGAAAATTAAGAAATATGCCTAGGATGTTTTAGAAAAAACATGCCATATTAACCAATTTAACTAATATCCTTAATTTACTCCAATTAGTTAACTAGGTCCTACATTAAGGACCAAAGGAGTATAATGAAAACAGTAGTATAAACTAATCACTTGCATATCTACCAACTAATCACATCTTATGCTCTATCTAAAAATGTACAGATTCATAAAATACACAACTTAAATTGGAAAACTCTCTAAGCCTCAATTTTCTCTCCTTAAAAAACTAAACCCAAAGCATTAAAATTGACATAGTCATAATATAGTTGATTCAAAGATAACAAAAATATTATGCCCATTTTTTAACAGAAAACTAGTTACATGCAATAACTAGCGCATTAAATATGATCCTATCCTTTGGTATATATCAAATGAACTAGTAATTCCCCCAGTTGGGTTTGTTTCAGATGGCCAATAGACAAAGCAAAAGAATGGTAAAATTAGAAAAGACAAAGTCAACAAATCTCCAAGAAAAATGAAACGACCGACATTCCTCAGCAGGAATTTAGAAGGTTATGCACTGCTAAAGAAAGAAGTTACGTCATTAGGCAATAATGGACCATCCAAGCGGCTTTTCTACAAGAGTCCATCCAGGAATTTTAAGTAAATGGTATGGAATCAGGCTCAAATATTGAGGTCTTTGTATGGTGCATTTTTCTTCAAGCTTCTACATGCACACAAGAATTCAATTCAAAAGTCTCTCTACAAGAACTCCACCAATAATGACTACTCAGATAGCAAAGCACCAAGTCCGAAAGAGACACATAACGTCACCACTTATCCTCAATTTGTTCATACCTCTTTTGCCGGAAAAGCCTGATCTTCTGTGCTTTACAGTTTAGCAAATTTATGTATCCGTTTCGATTCACACGAAAGTGAAAGTTCTTGTCAATGTATATAGTTTCAGACCCAATAAAAGGATATCATCCCGAATCTCTGTATAATTAGCAGTATGACGTTGATTTATTTTTCAGTTTAGGTGTACTCCAATAGTCATCTGAGTCATTTTAACGAGGAAACACTCAGGTTCAAAATCAATTGATTTACAAAGTTAATATTTGATACTGCCAGTGTATAGCAGTAATCCCTGAGATTCAATTCGATGGACTTGCAAAATCAATTTTTGATACTCAAGTGTATAGCAGTAGTTTAAAATCAATTTCAGGCAGCAGTTTTAAAAAGTTGCAGACATATGCATTACAGGGAACATGAGTATGATAATCGCACTAATGCTCCAATGTTGACACTGTCAAATTCTAACCTTTATGAATAAAAAGTTTAGCAGGAAAGATGCCCTGAGTTAACAGATTTCATAATCATAATATAAAGTTAATTTCAACTTTCAATACTCAAAAGTCTGTAAAAAAAGTGTTTCTCTTATTTCATCTGAGTATGATCACTAGCAGGATATCAAATATTAATTTTAGAATACAGAAGATCATTTACATTGAGAAACTTCTAAAAACTTTGGCTTGAGGGAAGATGGGCCTAGTTTACCAAAGCCATCACTACAACCAATCCAATCAGCCCAAACCGAACAGACCCCCAGCAGATCTGCTTCAGCTGTCTTGTATTATCATAATATAATATAATTCAGCTCAATGCAAGTTTAGGGGCCAATATTGTGTTGGTTAGGGTTGGCCAGATAGCACCAACCTGACCAAGCTGAACTGGATATCCTTAGTTGTCATATCGTACTATCAATTATAAATACAAGTTGTACATGCCAATGTTTTCTTAACACTTATCTCACACTAGATGATTATGAAGACACAGAATTAGGGCATCACTTCCATTACTCAAGTAGTTGATTAATGGATGACTAACTCTTGAGGTCTCGTTAATCAAGGATAATTTCATTTAAAACAGAATAATAGATCAAAACACCTTAATCTTAAAACAATTAATATATCCCACCATAAGGCAAAAGACAAGGAGTAGATGTATAGTATCAGTGTAACCAAAATTTAAAGAAAAACCGGTGAAGAAATAACTCAAGCTACACAGTATCAATTCAATACAATAAATGAACTAAGAGCACCACCTATCACTGTGACCAATTTCAAAAGCAACTAAGTCCATAACTAAATCAACAGAACTAGAATAATTATCTTCTTGAAAACCTAATTGTCCAATCACCCATGGACAAAATTAACATTCAGAGAACTTTGCAAGAAATATCTAATCACTATTAGAATGACAGATCTTTAAAGTGTCTGTACTTCATAGTTAACAAGTGTTCCTTTTGTTATTTCAGGCATTAGGGAACTTATAAAAAAGGAATAGGTGTCCAAGAGCGAGACAAAACATCAGATTACACATTTTGATAAACGCAGATTAAATCCAAAGATTACACATTTAAATCAAGAACTAAAAGCCTACATGCTTTGCTTACGGGTTTGATCATCTCCGCCCAGTCTACTTACAACTAAGCTCGTCCAAAATATCAGGAAAGGAATAAATGTTCACGCTTAATAACGTCTCAAAGTAAACACACAAAAAAAAAAAAAAAAAAGGCTCGTCTTAAAAAAATGAATCAAAACCAAAAACTAGGGTTTTGTTCAGAAATTGAGAGCTAACCTCCTTGAACTTGTTGAATTGCTCCTCCGACGGACCTTGCGAAGGATCCATCCTCAAGACATTAATGATCTTCGCAAAGTAGTGTAAGTAAACTACGAGGGCCGTACCATGAGCAGCTGCTGCCAGGGAGCCGACGACCATCAGAATCCAATCGAGCCGGTCGGCGCAAGCGAAGAGCCTGGAGAAGGGCACCGCAGAAGGCGGTGGCTCAACCTCCTCGGGCTCTTCGATCTCCTCCTCCACTTCAACCGGGTGGGAGGCGGAGGTCTCGGCTCCGGGGTCTAAGTAAGGCGACGGCGACTCTGGCGGCTCAGATACCTCCGACACCGGCGTTAGCGGCTGTATATGCGGTGGGGACCATCCGAACAGCCCCCTAGATATCATCATCTTTTGATCGCACCAGCTCGCAACTCCAACTCAAAGAAACCAAAACCTCTCTCCGAACACCCCTTTCCCACACTAAAATCAAGATCCACCCAATTCAAAGCCCAAATTTCCCAACTGGTTTGTTCTCTTTCTCTTCGAATTATAACCTGCTACTTTCTCAAACTCCCACTTCCGACCATAACGAACAACCAAGAGAGAAAGAGAAAGACGCGGTCGTCCCCCTCCTCCTCGTAAAAGGTGGTGGCGGGTGGCGATGACTGAGTCAAAGATGGCGTACGGAGATGGAAGATATTAGTGTTCCCCAAAGTAGAACGCGAAACATCAGAACCACCGTCTCCTCCACCTTCTGCTTCTTCTCGTTCTCTTTCTCCCCCTGAGTTCTGTATTTGGACAGCTAATTCGCCTTGGTTTTTGTTAGGTTTAACGGTCAAACGCCGGCGATACGTTTGAAGATGTTTATTTGACAAGAGTTTACTATTGTTTTTTATTATTATTATTATTATTAATTAATTCTGGATTTCCGGTACTTTCATTTCTTAAATTAATAATGTTATGCTTTCTGAAGGATACACAGTGAATGTGTGCTGTAAACGGCTTGTACAGTAAAGCTAAAGAAAAATAAGAAAGACGAGGACGACGAGGGTTATTTGGTAAATTCGTGCATAATGATTTGTTGGTAAATGTGTGAACAGCTAGATAATTTATTTGGGCCCAAAAAATACGGAAAAAGACAGGAAAAATTCCTTTAAATATATAAAAACCCAGATAAGTGCAAGTGAAAAGCAATATTCCATATCAGACTTGAGATACTGATCTGGCATTTGTAAATGTTGATTAAAGACATAATTGCCCCCGATAAATGCACAAAAAGAAAGACAATACAGAAGAAGCTTGTGACGAGGAGCTTGTGGGAATGAAAATCAGTGGAAGCTATTGAAGAAAGGCAAGGTAAGTTTAATTTTAAAGCCATTAATACTGTCTGAAGTTTAGCTTCTTCCTCCTCTCCTGATGGTCATTATTTCAGCGGGTTGTGTATATGGGTGAGTGGGTTTTAGGTGGGTTGAGAGGTGAAGGTGTTGAGTTATTATTTTTTAGTGTTGCAAAGAACTTCATTGACAGGTATTGGTCTTTCATTTTGTAGGTCTACATTGACAGAAAGTGTTAAGTAAATTACTTCGTTGCTGTCCGATATAAGGTTAGATTTTTTATTGTTTGAGTGTGGCAGAAGGCATTAGCATAGGTGGCAAGCATGAGCATGAATAGTGAGGAGATGATGAAGTATGTAGTTAACATATAAGGCAGAGTTGTGAAAAACTAATGTGTTGTTGGTAAGGGAGGAAGTGGGGTTCTGTTATAGATAGTGACAAAAGTGAATAATGTATACTGTTTATTGTGTTTTTGCAGATTCAAGCATGGCAGAAGACATTAGCTTCGGTGGCCCAACCTCTTTGAAGGAACTTTCGTGTTATTTTCATGTTAGAGGGATATTTGTAGTTAACGAAGAAGGTGTAGTTCAATATGGCGGGGGTAATGTGAGGCTAAGTAGCATAAAAGAAGGCATTACAGTTGAAGATTTAAGGGGGAAGATATCATTATGGTTTGGAATTGATGGTAATAGTTGTGAGATGAAATGTAGAGTAAGTTTTGATGAGAAGACATTGATAGATTTAGTTGATGATGGTGAGATTGGGAACTTTTTTCAGTATAATGAGAGGCATGGCCATCTATACGTAGCATGTAAAGAGAAAGAAAGTGGTGCTGATATACTAGAAGATCTAAAAATATAAGTGATATTTAACAGCCTATAGAAGTTGTCATTTGTTATGTTATTGTTGTTAGTTTGGTTAATGAAGTTGTCTTTGTACATGCAGAGTTGACAGATTATTGGGCTTGTCACAACAAAGGTCTGACTCATTCAGCAGTATGGAAACTGAATATGAACCAGTGGAGTATGAAGATATGGTTGGGGCCTTAATGTATGAAGTTAGAGGCAGGTGTAGCAACATAACATATGAAGTATAGTATGTACCAACACCATATCTTGAGATGAATTGTTCAAAATGGAGGGAATTGATTTCAGGACGATTGCAAAATTTTGCAGATGTAGAATAGTTAAAAAAGGCAGTGCACAAATATATCATATCACATAATTTTGAGTTCAAGTATGTGAAGAGTAAGGACAAGATGTCAGTGAGATGCAAGGTTGAAGGTTGGCCATAGAAGATATGTGCAAATGCAGTGGGAAAGAAGACTCCTTTCCTACATGTGACCACATTTGTAAATGAACATGTGTATAGTGCACAAGACAATCTCCAAGTTAGCCATGGTGGAAAAGCTAGTTTGACATCAGCAATTATAATTGGTGAGGTAAGGAATCGCATTGACAAACAGCCTACTGAAATAATGACAACATTGAAAAGAGATTATGGGGTGAATCTAACATATAAGCAAGCATATAGACCTAAGAAAAAAGCAATGGAGGAAATACAAGGCAGACTTGAGCAATCTTACATGCTACTACCTTGGATTTGTCAAAAACTAAAGGAAAGTGATGAAAAAACTGTTGTTGAATGAGCAGCTATTGGGAATAACATATTTGAGCGAGTTTTCATAGCTTATGGGTGTTGTATAGAGGGTTTTTTAACTAGTGCTGGGTATATACTGTATATAGATGAAACTCACCTAAGTAAACCGTATAAGGGAACATTACTGTCAGCATTAGCTTATAATGCGGACAATGAATTATTACCATTTGCAATTGCCATTGTGAAGGGGGAAACATATGAGGATTGGTCATGGTTTCTGCATATGATTAAAAATATCATTGGCTCTATACAGTTAACAATAGTTTCAGATCGTCACAATTCAATCATAGCAGCTGTCTGAGTAATATTTGGAAGTGAGAGGCATAAATATTGCTATAGGCATGTGAAGGAGAACTTTAGTGCAGAACTGGTTAAATCAAATAGAGGCAAGAGGAAGACAAGTAAGTCCATGAAGGAAGATGGGTTGTAATTGCTTGATAATATCACATATGCAAGGCTTGATGGTGAGTTCAATAAGGCAATGGACCGCTTGTATTGTTTCTATCCATAGTTATTTTAGTAGCTTAATACTCATGGAGATGTGGAAAAATGGGCTTTGAGTAAGTTTCCATATCAACGGTGGGACAATATAACTACAAACCTTGTTGAATCATTTAATGCCTGGTTGGTGAAGGAGAGGAGGCACAACGTTGCACAACTTATCCATGTACACCGTGAGAAGGTAGGCAAAAAAATGCATGCAGCTAGTATGACAATAGGTAGGTGGAGAAATAGAGTAGGAGCAAATATTGATGAACAAGTAAAGAAAAATGTCATCCTTGCTGAACATATGTTGCCTAAACCATATGGTGGGGGCAAGGTTGTTGTCCACACATCCCATGGAGCCTTGCATGTTGATCTTAGTGCATGTACATGTAGTTGTAGAGCTTGGCAAATGTCGGGGATCCTGTGTCCACATGCTTGCATAGCCATAGAGTCTATGCATAGAAATGTCTATGACTTTGTTGAAAATTGCTACAAGATCACATCCCAAGAAAAGATTTACTCTCGTTGCCTAATATCAATTGTCACCATTGACAGGCCTAACCCAAATAAGTACATGCTAGAAAATATTTCAGAGCAAATTTTTCTGTTCTCACCTCGGACTAGTCGACCTGCTAGAAGGCCAGGAGCCAACAGACGTGAATCATAATTCCAAAACAAGAAGATATACCACTGTGCAAATTGTGGTGAATTTGGTCATACACAGAGGACCTGCAAAAACCCAAACCTAGCATGAAAATGGCAGTAAATGTTAGAACAAGCTCCATTTTTAGTTATTTTGACCCCTTTGTAATTTTTTGTGCAAAAGGTTTAATGTAAATGATGCACAGCATGCAGAGGTTGTAATTAATATGTACTGTATGCAGGGGTTGCAAACTTTTTGATAACAAGCAAACATTAAGTGCAAGTATGACCTTAATTTTGACTTGTCAATTAATACAGAAAATGTTGTTACTCACAGTGGAAATCTGGTTTGTAGTTAATGGTTAGAATAACGTTGTTAATAGTTATCATTTTGTTGTCAATGTCAATGTTAAATAGTGAATGATATTGTGCAACCACTCTTCTACACTCCTTCAGATTATTGCCCTGTAATGAATGAAGATGTTTTATTAACTTGACCTTTATATTATTATCATTTACTTTAGTAACGTCTAATTTTAGTGGCTAATTCCCTAGAACTCAACTTTGCAGCTTAGGTTTAGTCATCATATATGAAGGTATTGTCATTCTATACGATTGTCTTGTCAACATGCTTCTAATGTTGCTTGATTCCCCTGATCAGTTGTTATTCCCTTGATTCCCTTGATTCCCCTGAACGCAAGTTCCACTATTAGTGTCATCAATTCATATGATGACGTTGTCATTATAGTTTAAAGTGTTGTGCATGTGCATACCGCTGGAACAACATCCTAGTGTCCTGATAAGTTTCCCCTGAACCCAACATCCAGTTTCCATGTTGTTAATTAATTTGATCATGTTGTCATTATATAGAGAAGTATTGTCATCTTGTATAACGATGGGGAACATCTGATTTGCCCAACTTTCCTAACTTTGTTGCACCTAAATCCAACTTGCAGCTTTACGTGTCGTTAACTGTTATGATAGTGTTGTCACTATATTTGAAATTATTGTCACTTCAGCTACCTAGGTTTCTCCATTGCTCCCCCTGAACTCGACTTCCACTTTCGGTGTCAACTCATATAATGGTGTCATCACTTCATGTGTAAGTGTTGTTTACTTGTATGATGGTGTTATCATTATATATGAAAATGTTGTCAACGTGTATGATGGTGTCATCACTTCATGTGTAAGTGTAGCTTACTTGTATGATGATATTGTCATTATATATGAAAATGTTATCAACGTGCATCATAAGGAGGACATCTGATTACCCTATTTTTCTACATAATAAAGGGTATCCCCAGAAGCAAACTTTCCAGTTTTAGTGTTGTGAACATATTTGAAGGTGTTGTCATTCTCTTCGTAAGTGTTGTCAATGCGTAACTCTTGTTAATTGCATCTGATTTACCCAGGTTTCTTTTTTGATTGGCTAAAACACAAATTACTAGTTTACGTGTAGTAAACCTGTTTGAAGGAGTTGTACCTCTTAATGAAAGTGATGTCAACGTCCCTAGTAAGGGTCAACATTTCAAAGTAATTAGAACATGTAATGAACTTTCCTAATAGCACGTTGCCAATATATACGGAAATGGTATTAAACCATTTATAACAGTTGTTAACATGGTTCATACATTGTCAGAACTTGAATTTCCTACAATATAAGTGGTGTTTC